TCCGAGAATCTTATTTCCGAGAAATCGCTCCATCTTATCGAGAAATTATTTCCTCGTGAACGATTCCAACGTAAATACCCTTGTCGTAACATTATCCAACATGAAAAGTAAATAAAGGATCTATGGTTACGATAATTCGAGCAAATTTACAAAATCTATAACATTCGGTAAATGAGGACAATATATCGATTAAATGCTACTAAATTAAATATAAAATTCAGTTCGTTGTTTAATAACAAAAAACTGCATTCTATCTTATTAAAAATGATCAATTGTAAGAAAACTCGATGATTACAAATTTCACTGTTTAAAACAAGTAAATTGAAGAAAATTCAAAAGGTACCAAATTCAACTTCCGTATCCCATGATAAAAAAAAAAAAACCACAATGTAACCATTACAAATGTATAAATTTAATACAATTCTAAATAAAAATACCGCGCATATTCTTACATATTTGTTCATGAAAAACTTCAATACACTATTGCAAGCAGAATTAAATTAAAAGAAATTCAGCAGTTCAAAATTTAACCTGCAACATTCACCGATACAATAATAGGAGGGTAAAAAAAGAATACTTCAGTATACCGTCAATGTCGGGGGAATTGCACAAACGGAATATCCGCGGCGTGGAAAACCGAGGGTTACAAGGAATGAACGGGAACGAAAAGCTCCGACTTGTTTTTCGTCAAGTGCTGTGCACGTCTGGTTTAGAGCTCGCAGCCGCCTGGAAACGCTTCTATAGATCGTATGCCATATCCGCAATGCTTGGAGCTGAGATTCTTTGTACATACCTTTTTTATTCATTAAATTGCGCGCCCGGTAGCAGCAGCAGTAGCAGTAGCAGCATAAGCGTGCAAGCTATGTGAATCGCACATGATCGCAGTGTCGTAAGCCTTTTTCTCTCTCTCTCTCTCTCTCCTGGGATCGTATTGATTTATCGTCGGTACGTCGCAATACAGTCTTGAGAGAAACGATGCTTTTTCGTATCGAAGAACATCGATCGCGTGAAATTCCATTCGCGAGCTTGCATTCGCGATTTCTCTACGCGAAACTGGATCTCGAGTCTCGATCGAATTATTAGGTTGATAATTGAATTGTTATGTTGGTGCATATGAAACGTCTATACACTTTTCTCAACGATTAATTTCATTATTTTGAAATTTATAAAAATCGTCAGTCTTTGAATTTAAAAAAGTCTTGGAATGGTTCAATTGTTTCAAAAATTGCCATACATTGCTTAATTTCTGTTAGAACGTTATCATATCTTCTCCTCTTGGCTCGTTTTCCAATGAAAAGTCGCTGGTCTTGAATTTTGCAAACGAACGTTCAAGTGTCCTAACATTTACATAACCTTCTCCAAACGCTAAATTTATATTTCCAGCAACTTCTGCTGCAGTTTTTGCAAGTTTAATCTCGTACAAAAAAATTACGCGAATATCTTGATTATTCATTACGTTAGATTATGTTATGAATTGTTTTACTATCCAGTACACGTGTACTACGGTAAATTGCTTCTTCTTGACTATTGTGTATAAAAATTGACGATCGAAACGAAATTTAACACACGACACCAACCAGCTATACAAAAAACGACATTTCATGCGCATCAACCTAATATTTGTTTATTTTCGAGAGATAAATGGACGTCCAAGGATTATTCTTTGTTGAAGTGAAAATTCGAAGAATCGTTGTTTGAGAGAAAGTTTCGAGGAGATTTTCTTTTTTTTTTTTTTTTCGTGAGAGAATAATAGCGAAAGATTGCTCGAGAAGTTGACGATTTGCGGAATTTCGAGGGAAGGAGAATGTTTCCGCGACAGAGATAGTACGTCTTTAGAACGGAGAATTCTAAGCTTCATGGGGGATCAATCATTAATGGGTCTTCTCTAGGCTGTGCGCCACGTTTCTATTCAACTTCTCGAGTAATGAAAAAAAGAGAAAAGAAAAAAAGGGGGGAAAGAAAAGAAGATCGATGGAGGAACGTGTCTTGCTGCACCGTATGTTCTGCTCTGGCCGTGAAGTTCAGCCTGAATATTCATCGACAGACACTTCTCGCTTGTGTAAATTAGATTTAGGTAGATCTTTATATATACGTATAACGACCTTAGTATATAGCCCATTATTAGGAGTAGGTTCATGTATGTGCATCTAAAATAGTGTCAGAGGACAGTTATTATTTATTAGAATCTTAAGAAAACGCTTCTAGATAGTCCAGATAGATTAGGTCACAGATTGCAACGATCGATTATTTCCAAGTAAAAATGATCCACGAAATTTTCGATCGAAATTAACAGGCTATCAAAATCAATTTCACATCGATTGATACGTTCGAAGTGGAAAAACTATCAATATTAAAAAAGGAAAAGGAGAAAACATATCGAAAAGAAGGAAAGCTTTTTTTCACGATGGACAGATTTCTTTCGAACATTGTCATTTTCGATTCGATCAACGATTATATAGCCGAGCGTATCATGCGAGGGTAGTTAATATAAAACTAGAGAGTACACCTAATGCAGGTGGGCATACCACGAATTTCTAATAATCGCTCGGCAGAAAATTCGGTGAGAGGGAGCGGAAAGCGAGCAGATCACGTGGACCTAACCCAGGTTCGTATGTTCACGACCCGCTTTTAGCACCAATTTCGTACTGTACACACGTATATATGTACATATATCTATATACAACGTGCATATAGCGCCTCCTATACGACTAGTCGCCATAGCTGCTTTTCAGACTAGACGCGGAATAGATGTTCCCGATGCTTGCAAAGTAGGAAAAAAAAAAAAAGAACGAGAGAAATGTGGGGCAACGTCGTACTATCGGTAAAGTACACGTACGTGCAAAGTGGATACGTTACCATCCCCGTAATATTCGTCGCGAGAACTCTGAATACTTCATGCGAGCCTCGTATGCAATAATCAAACTTTCTAGTGGACACCGTGATAATTATTTTAAATTTACTGTCGAAACTGATGTTTCACATTTTGGAATGTTGCGGTCTCTATAATAGTTATTTCAAATTTAAACTTTGAACCTTGGAAGTTGGAAGGAAATATGTATATTTAAAGCATGAAATCTCTGGTCAGATGGCAAAATGTGGCATGTCCGATTTTCGTGAAAATAGAGATATGTGCTTTTCCATGTGTGTCTAGATGAAATCTAGAAGCTGGCAAAATATCACATCTCTGTGCTATGTGGTTTATAAATAGAGCGAGGTAGCTAATTTATGATATGTCAAATTCTTGATTACTAAACTTTAAAATTGCTCCATTGACCACAGAAATAATAATTAGAATTGCGGTCTCCGTGATAATTATTTCAAATTTAAAGTTTGAACTTTGGAATTTGAAACGGAAAACATGTAGATTCGAAGTAGAAAATAATCGTTGAGAATTGACATAGTTAATTTGACCGCGAACTATTGGAGATGTCGCGACGAGTATATTGCAGCGATGATGACGGTTCCCGCGCGAACGGGAAAATGGCGGATGCGTCGGTCCATAGAGACGGCTGCCGCGAAGCACGGGAAGCTGTCTTGCGATGCACACTATGCGGCGAAATAATTAGGAACGCATAGAGCTAATCTAGAAGCGGGTTATGAATAACACCGGTGCACACATAGCGGACAAGTAATACTAAATGAATATTTCCAAGTTTCACCGGTATATACAGGGTGTCCACTTTAACGGTGTGCACGATTTTTCACCTGTTCAGAAAAATGTAATAAAAAGTGTTATTGATAAAAATTTACCTGTGTTGAGTGGATATCACAGAATGGTAAACACATTTTCAAGATACTTTTTTTTTATATCGAAGACAAAGTTATCTTGAGCTTTTTAAATGAAAATTTATAATTTTTATAGTGAAGTTATACAACATATAACTAGATTAATACTTTAATTCTTTTCTTAAACTGACTCATAACGAAGTTATACTTTCCTCAAATATCTTACGTACACTGCCGTTCATAAGTATTAGGACACTCGTTGTGTTCCTACAGAAACTATTATATAATTTAAATTACACCTTTTGGTTAGTATCATATAGTTAATAATATCAGTAAAAATATTTATACTCGTTACACTACGAGATTCCAGACTGAATATCTTAGTTTAGGATCTTAATAATTGTATAATGACTATTTAGGTCTCAGGACTTATGAACGGCAGTGTACAAGAGTAGATGGCCATGCTATTGTTTTTGTTACTCAAAAATGTATGAGTTCATTGTCTACAGAAGGGTAAAGACAAATTCAACCAGTAGAAAATGCGACACTTTTATTCACACAATACTAGATTTATAGTAGTGGTAGCAGTATTACTTAAGTAAGTACTTACTTGTACATCGGAGTCCCGATAGAAGTAGGTACTTCCACTTGTTGTAAATTTAATATTGTGAGAATAAAAGTATCACATTTTACGTACTGGTTGAATTCGTCTTAATGTCCCCTGCAATACAATGTAAAAGCAAACTACATATACGGTTCCATTTAAAAAAAACTCAAGGTGAACATGGCTTCGCTGTGAAAAAAAAATGATTTTCAAAGTTCTTGATATCGTTCTATGTTGTCCATTCAACACAGACGAATCTTTGTTTTAAAATAATTTGTTTTATTACATTGTCACAAACAGCTGAAAAAATCGTGCAGGCCATTAAAGTGAACACCCTGTACATACGCGGTCTCTTATTGGACACGCTTGATTCGTACACTCTCGTACATTGTATACACGTATATTTTGGAAATATTTGTTTCACCTATATCACTATCGATAAATCTCGTCGATTGTTTTCTTCACTTTTTTTTTTGCCTTTGAACTTCGCGTGGCAATGATACGTAGCGTGTATATGAATTTTTTTTTCTACATGTACATAATTTCTAGCACGTCTATTAAAAGGATAAATAAGTGAAAATACTACGGTAATGATGACTCGATGCAAGACGTTAAGTAAGATGGATTTTCGTGAAGGGAACGGAGATGTTTAGAAATATTTCGTTCGCAGGTTCGGTATGACGACGAGGACGAGGACGAGGGTCCTCAGCCGGATCCGATGCTCGAGCAAGGAGCACCGATCCCGGTCCGACTGCACAACGAATTTCCACCCGAGTTGGCCTCCACACCTCTCGAGGATATCGATAACTTCTATCATAACCAAAGGGTATCGGTATTTTATTAAGCAAGTGAAGAAATTAAGCTGATAATCCCCAAATTACTGCATGTTCGATTAATGATTTAGATTACACTGTATATGTTCAAATTTATTTCACCTACATTCTCCAGCCGTGATTTACCAAGCTACACCGATCGTTTTTATACGTTAACAAAAAATAATCGATAAAGTTCAATACACTTTGTCGTATACTAGAATTGTGAACTCGGTTTTCTTCGTTTCTTCTCGAAGAATATTTTTCTTGGCAAGTGTTTCCTAATTAATCTCTCTTTATGCAATAAATCTAGAATTTCAATATTTAAAGTCATGCAATATTTACGTACATGAGTTTGTTTATTATAGTCGTATCTAAGATAGAAGTTATTACATAGTGATTTTATAACGAAGAACATTTGTCACAGAGTTTAATATACTATTTAAAATAATTTAAAGATTGTTTGGTCCACTTGTGGATTGAAGCATCCCCTTTTACTTAAGAAATTCGAATCTCCTATCGTAAGATTTGTATATTTTAACCCTTTCGTGACTAGTAGGACGCATGTGTCCTACTTTAGTACTCGAACGAAAATTGATCGCAATTTAGTATCCATTACGGTAGATTAATGATTGATAGATAAGTAAAAAAATAAAAAAAAGAATAATTCGGTCAGGAAAGGGTTAAGAAAAATTTTTACAATTCGTTTATTAGAATCTTGGAACTTAATTGAATATTATGTAAGCTTCGCTCTTATTTACCATAGAACTAATGTATCTTTAGACTTCTAATGAAGATGAACAGAGGATATATAATGAAAAGAGGACGTTACTTATATCGAAAATTATAGTTCCAATTTACAGATAATTTCTTGTTAATTCCCATAAAGGTATATTTTTTATCTATTTGGCACTATTTTAATGTATAATACTGTTTTTTTTTTTTGTTCTTTTACTAGACCTTCGTCGTCATCAGCAAGGGAAAGGACATATTCAGGTTCTCAGCGACAGATGCGCTGTGGATCCTCGACCCGTTCAACCCAATACGACGCGTGGCCATTTACATATTGGTTCACCCACTGTTCTCCCTCTTCATTATCACTACAATATTGGTTAACTGCATACTCATGATCATGCCCACTACGCCCACCATCGAGTCTACGGAGTGAGTATCGTTCGTCCTCCTCGTCCTCGATTTAGTGAAATTGAAGATGAGACTAACTGGGTTTAGTCTTTGCCTACGTCCTCCGTTTCCTGTTCTCTCTCTTTTTTCCATTTTTTTTTTCGGCGCGTATTAATCACCAATAGTGCGAGTATCGATCTCTTGGAAAATGAAAATTTCCTTTTTTCTGAAGAATAAAGTTTCTCTACAACGGGAAGATTCAAATTGGCTTGCTTGTACATATTAAAATTAACTACTTTATAAATGTGGATATTGCCTTCTTTGTGGAAATTACAATTGACGTCTGTGCAAAGATTGCTATTAATTTCTTAGCAAAGATTGAAGTTGCTTCCTTTGCAAAAACTAAAATTCACTTTGTGTAGATTAATATTGCCTTCTTTGTGAAAATCAAAATTGGTGTCTTCGTGAAAATTAATATTAGTTTCTTGGTAAAGTTTGAAACTGCCTCCTTTGTGAAAACTAAAATTCACTTTGTGTAGATTAAAATTGCCTTCTTTGTGAAAATCAAAATTGGCGTCTTTGCAAAAATTAATATTAGTTTCTTGGTAAAGTTTGAAATTGCCTCCTTTAGAGAAATTAAAATTCACTTTACAAGAGTTAAAATTATCTTCTTCGTGTAGAACAAAATTGGCCCCTTCGCAAAAATTAACATTGCCTTTTAAGCAAAAGCTACAAATTACTTCTCTAATTGAGACACGACTCTTGCTTCTATTATCTACTTAACAAAGATGGATACTCGTACGGTGGTTTAAAGGTTCCAAAAGAAATCTTCGATACTGTATGGTTCTTGAATGGATGGAAGCAAATCAGTGAAAACGAACAGGTGTTTTGTTCTCTGACCAAACGATTTATACCACGATACCGTGATATGAAACTGGCAAGATCTTCCAAGATCGAAACTACTTCAAATAAACAAAGAGAAAAGCTCGAGGAAATAATTAAATGGCGCAGTCCAAGTGTCGAAAATTAGAATCTACTTTTTACGTCAACTTTTTTTTAAACTTTCTCAGTCAATTATATATTTACGCTTGCTCTGCAGTGACTGTGAATCAACGTAGCTTAGCGTGCTTACGAGCCTAAGCCGGAGATGAATCAGGTCGATTTGTTCCCTCTTTTTTTCCAACTTCTTTCTTCTTCTTTTTTTTTTTTGTCAATTTTTTTAATCTCTCCTTTTAACTCGATCGATGTTCGTTGTACTCTTTTTCTTGTTAGATAGGAGAATCATCGAAAGCTTACGGCGAGTACACGTTGTTCTAAAATATAGATACTTTCAAGCAATGTTCTACGTGTTATAGCTCTAAATATATGAGTAGAGACTGTGATAAATTGTATAACCGTTGGTAAGTTTTGTTCTAGTCTCTCTAGAGGTAGCGTAGAGACGTGAGCGATCTGTGCGAATAATAATGAAAGGAACGATGAAAAGAAGAAACAATAGAAATCGTTTTTTCCCTTTTGTTCAATGAAAAACATCTGTCTCGTTCATTGAACGTACATTCAAAGAAAGAAATTGTTCGCTCGGGTCGTGCTCGACGATAGCTGACTTGTTTACGGCGATCTGTAATTAATTAGACACCGATAGCGATCGGACACTATCGCCTAGTTTAGCAAAAGCGACGCTACTCACTGGCAAGGATCAAGAGATAAGCATGAAATATTTCAGTACACAGTGAAATTTATTTTCTCCTACGAGAGTACAATTCTGCAATAGTCCGGTAAGATTGTCGTTTTTATTGGTGATGATGGGATCAAGTATGTTGTGAATAGTATTTGAACATAACGTTAGTGTGAATGTATTTATAGATAATTGTGGATAGTTCGAAGAGTAATGATAAATTGTATATTTTTTTTTAAATTTAGTCTCTTTTTATATTTATCCTTTTATTGTATTTATTTATTTTTTTTTTTACGTTTCAATAGTGAGTGCTTTGCCAGACGTTCTTTCGACGAAAAATATTACAAACTGTACACTATCATTGTACCATAGATTAAATTACTTTAATTCAGTAGTTAAATGACATTATAAAAGAATTCTTAAATCTTTTTCTACAGCCTTTAATGCAAGCTTTGAGTAGCCATTACGAATCCTGAAAGGTAATTATGGCTATCTGCGGTAAAATTAAACTCTTTTTATGCGAATGAAAATTGTTCATTAATCAACCAATTCGTTTTTGTTTTCTATTTAATTTTCAAAATAAGATTCTTTTCAATCTGTGAATCAATATTAACCAATCTTGTTAATTTCAATTTCATATTCTGTACCTATTCTATACATATTCTGTAATATTAATCATTCACTATTAATTTACCATTAGACATTTAAACGAAAAGAAAAAGAACTTGAAATTTAATTTTAAATTTAAATTCCAAGTGAATGCTTTATTTCTGAATACACTCGATCCCATAATTATTTCTGGAAGAAAAATTGGACAAAAGAGAGGTAAATAAATGGAAATCGACGTATCCTTTTTGTCACGTGAGTGGGATCGCTAATGCGACTCGTCAGTGTGATGTGTTGAGACGCGCTAGGCCAAGTAGAGAGACTCGTGTGTGCGCGCGCGCGCCAAAGGAAATCGCATATAAAGCTGAGTGGTGTGTTTGTTGTTTTCAGAGTGATATTTACGGGCATCTACACATTTGAGTCCGCCGTTAAGGTGATGGCGAGGGGTTTCATTCTGCAGCCTTTTACCTATCTTAGAGATGCATGGAATTGGCTCGACTTCGTAGTTATAGCTTTAGCGTGAGTAGTTAAAAACTTATTCTTTAACTAAAAGAAAGAAACTGAAAAAGAAAAGAACGAAAGAAACGAAAAGAAAAGAGAAAGAAAAACGAACAAACGAAACCGAGAGAACTGAACAGAAAAGAAAAAAAAAAAAAAAAAAAAAAAAAAAAAAAAAAAAAACAAAGAAAACGAAGGAAACGAGAAACGACCACAAAAGAACGGTAGAGTACAGCGTGTGACGAAAGAGAATAAACGTAGAATTGTTCTTTTTGCAAGTAGCCGAAGAGAAAAAAGAAGATACTTTTTTTTTCTCTTAACCGTAGTTGAATTCATCTTTTTTTCTCCTTACAGTTTAAATATATCTACTCTCTTTTAATGAAAAAAAAAAAGATACGAATATAGGATAATCCTGCTTCGGCTTAACGAAACCATAATCTCGCGTTGATACGAGGATAAAAAATTGAGCATAGATTGTCCGCGTGTAATGTTATTGACACGTAGCTCGATGCTCGAAGAAGAGAAAATCGTTAAATCGATATGTCGTGCGGTGGTAAGATCTGCTGGGTCTCGTGAAAGCGTGAGTTCTTTCCTCCGTCAAATCTGTCGGTCGATATACATATACTTGTGAAGAGTTCGCGGTAGAAAATGTCCAACCTAACTTTCCTTATCGAAGAAAATACTACCTTTAGTCAACCATTACTTTGTTTATTCCACAACTGAACAGATTTAACGATCTAATTGAATGGAATTAAAAAAAAAAAAATCGCTTCAAATTCACGCTCTTTTTCCGGAAAATCATTCACGAATCTACCTAAATTTATTCACTCGATGTCTCCCGCTGATCTCTAGAAGAATCGGCGAGAGACATCGAAACTTCTTGAAATTGCTAATACATTCGTTCAGCCTATATCGACAATTCTAATCAAAAAAAAATATACCAAACAGGCTTCGGTCCGATCAGCCTGAGAGACACTTTGTTTTTTTTCCTGTGTTTCTTAGTTCCACGGGTAGATTCGTATCACGATGATGATGATCTTAGACGTAACCGCGTCGACAGGACCGATTTTGAAAGAATCACGTCGACCCCCGTACGACCAGAGTTGGCGCAGAGAAGCGTCTATCCACGAGAACGCTAATTAGTATACAAGATTAGAATGTGTTCAGGTTATGGAACGTAGATCTAATTATATATATATATGTTTGTGTATATATATATATACAGGGTGACCCATTTTAATCTATACATGCTAATATTTCGGAAATCACGTTGAATTGGAGAACCTGCTTTTGGGGGGTTAACTGAGACAGAAGAGGACACTAGTGCGTGCAGGTATAAGTTCGCTAAGTTAAGGTTACTACAAGTTCAGTTGGATTTTTATAATGGCACGCAGTATATCTTTTTCAACAAAATGATAAAGCGTAACGAGACGAATTCAGTAACCTCATATGTTGCATGATTTTATTGGGAAATACAACGACGAAACGTAAATGAAGATTTCATTTGAGGAAGTAACGTAAGGTATCTTGCCCTCGAGTAGTGGCCATCAAACGTCGAAAAATAGCCACTCGATGAAGTTAGTGTCTCTGCAAGTGCTCGAATACATTGTCGTGATCGTCAAGACATGTTTGAATACGCCTGTTGATGTCATCTCACACGGCCATAAGCATTCCTAAAGTGACCTCAAATGGAATGTTCATTTACGTTTCATCGTTGTATTTTCCAATAAAATCATGCAACATATGAGGTCACTGAATTCGTCTCGTTACGCTTTATCGTTTTGTTGAAAAAAAATATGCTACGTATCATTTAAAAAATTCCACCTGACCTTCAAGTGATCTCAACGCTCGCACTTAGCGAACTCAGACCTGTGCCTAAGTACTTACTAGTGTCCCCCACCGTCTCATTTAATCCCCCAAATGCAGGTTTTCCAATTCAACGTATTTTCCGAAATATTAGCATTTATAGATTAAAATAGGTCACCCTGTATAGGAAAAGCGTTTAACAAGTGCTAAGGTGTAGAAGAGTAAAGGGAAACATTTGGCACCCAAACGATTTTTGGCAGCCAGTTTCGGAAATTAAAATTCCAAGCTTGCTACTAACTTTGAAAACAGAGGAAGTTCTCATTGATTTTTAATTTGTATTACATATTCCAAACTAAGCGTGACTCACTTGTTACCACCTCCACTTCAAACACGCAGCCAATAGAAACATAATTGTAATTTTTCCATATTCTTTATTATTATTATTGATACCATTATTATTATTGTCATTATAATATCATGTCTAGTTACATCATACGATACAGTATTCATTTATTTGTTTTGTTCCTTTGTTATCATCGTAATTGTTGATTAGCCTAGCGTATTATTATTATACGTCGATTCGAACGAATTCACTTATATTAATTGTCGTAGATTTAGTACATTATTTATATATAAATATAATATACATATTATATATCTGTGTATGTGTATGTACATTAATTTTGATATTTACGTATACATACACAACTATATATGTATAAGTATATTACGTAACTGTTGATAGATGGTCAAATTACGTGTACCTTTATCACAGCATAAAGAGTATCCGTTTACGACTCGGCATCACGAGAACTTTTTCCACAAATCTCATTCCATTCACCTTTTGTCTAATCAATTAGAAACTTATTAATCTAATCTCAATTACGAGTACCTGACAAAAGAATACAAAAAGTCTGAGGTTCGATCGTACACATAATAACATAAATTAGTTTCCCGTGATACCGTGGCATTTCGAGTGACATCGAGAGTGCATGCAGTAATAGCTACCTTAAAATATATATATACATATTATTACATATTATTACAT